AAAAAAAAAAAAAATAAATAAATAAATAAATAAATAAATAAATAGGACACAATAAAGAACACTTTTAAATGGGACACCTATAGACCACGACAGGGTTTATAGGGTTTGTAAAAATCCTATCAAATCCTAAATTAGGGCAAGTATACCATCTCATGGTGAGATGTATGCTCTCAGTGTAATAGTTTGTACTTCTGAGCTAAAAACCCAAACAGTTGCTTAAATCAAGCATCGTCTTGAGCAGTGAGGATGTACTCAGTTCCCTAAATGGCTGCTTTCTGATGGTATATTTGAGGTTTGCAGTTTGAGGAATTTGGGAATTAACTTTAGTAGAGCCAATCATAGTCCCACCAGTACTAAAGTTTATCTTTGCTATTCTGTCTTTAGAGAAGATGCTGAAGCCCCAAAGGCCCGCCTTGTGAAACCAAGCTCCTCTTCCTCAGGCTCTCGGAGCTCACGCTCTGGTTCTTCCTCCACTCGCTCCACGGCAAATAGTGCCTCACGCAGCCAGCGGACAATGTCAACTGAAGCAGCAACCCAGCTAGGGCTGGCCACCCAGTCTTACAGCCTAGTGGGGCCAGAGGTGAGATGCTCTGAACCAAAGAAAGTCCACCACACTACCCTGACCAAAGCCGAAACCACCCCCAGCACAATCCCCAATCAGAGCAGAGCCTTCCAAACTGTCTGAATTAAAGTGGACTTGACTCCCAAGCTTTCCTAGGAGTCAGGATCTTAGGACTCTTCTAGCCATTGGAACTGTCACCAGCCACAAAACTCCCTCAGAGAAGATAAAAGATCATTTAAGTAGTAATGAACATCACATGAAACAGATTTCAGATGAGCACTTTCCTTATATGACACTAAACAAGCAAAAGGATGTAAGTTGATCATTTCCAAAAAGGCACCTCATTGTGCCTCTAAACCAGAGTGGGGGAAGCAAGCGTTCAAATCTATTTGAACACAAAGTGAAAAGACTGGGAAGGAGGGAGGTGAATACACCTAAAACTTCTCACCTAGGATGTTTTATCAGTGCTTCAGTTCGCCATGATCAAGAAGAAATGGGTGTTGTTCCCAAATTTTCTATGCATTTCTGCAGACTATTGAACTATTGTGATTATTCAGATAGTCATCAGAATCCACAGCCTTATATCACACCTGTTTGCACCATATACTGAGATCACCACTTCTAAGAAACACCAGGAAAGGAAATGTGTCCTTTTTTCTGACTTACTTCCTCTGTCATAAGGTTTGGAAATGAATTTCAAGAGGAGTTGAAATAGTGGGAGATGGAGAAAAATGAGTTGAGTTTCTCCTATCTATCAACTATCAAGATCTCTACTTATATTGAACCCTAAAATACCAACTAAAAAGGGAGTCTAAAGTATGTGATAAAAGTCTATGAAAAGCTTTCCATCTTGATGTTCAGAGGATTGCTAACCAATATAAGAAATACTTACTGGAGCAACTGTGGAATTTCCTCTCAAATCAGATGCCTGGACGGATTTCTGAGGTGGATACATCTAGAAGGAAATATTCACTACATGTCATTTAACAATGTCCTTAGAACGAAGTTCTCCAGGGAAAGTAAGATTTAGGGGTGTTGAAAGATTACCTGACATACACTACAATTACTTTTCTGAGAACATGTGAAACCAGAATTTCAAGACTGACTATACTAGAAAGGGAGATTATACCAGTTTTTTCCCTTAATATGTGAAGGAATAATATAAGGAAGTTTAGTATTACACCAAACTTGAAGATTCCTCCATTTCTTTCATTTTAGAAGGATGTGAACCTCGGACTTTTGATGTTTCTAGGGCTTAAATTATTGAAAAGATCAAAGCTTGCCAACATTTCCCAATGGCACTGCAAGTATATGCCATATCATTTCCTCCTGAGAAGCTAAAACAGAAATTCACTATTTCCCAACTTCAGCTTTTAAGGAGCCCTAGATTTGGGCTGGAAGGAAAGGGAACTAACATTTAGGGAAGAGATGGTTAAGAACAGCTAGTGGATGGTAGGACAGGGTGCTACTACAGCCTAACATTTTAGCTGCCAGGATCTTGCAAAGAATTAAAAACGATTCATCGGGGAAGATATTGAAAAAGCTGATGCAGAAAAGTGTCTGACAAGCCAGTTGTGGTGGCTCACACCTGTAATACCAGCACTCAGGAGGCTGAGTCAGGAGGATCACTGTGAGTTTGAGACCAGCCTGAACTACATAGTGAGCCAGGTCTCATACCAGCACTCAGGAGGCTGAGTCAGGAGGATCACTGTGAGTTTGAGACCAGCCTGAACTACATAGTGAGTTCCAGGTCAGTCTCAACTACATAGTGAGACCCTATCTCAAAAAACCAAAAAAAAAAGTGTCTGACAAAAAGTAAGCAGCAGACTCCAGTATACTAACTTGCCTCTTTACTAATTTTGACTACTTGGATTCCTACAGCACAGAAGGCTGATTCTGAAGTAGTCCTTTAAAAAACTTAACATATGTGTCAAATGATCACCATTGGTACTCAGAATATTTATCAAAAGGGCAGAAGGTTAGAGGAAGAAAAGTGAATGCTGAATGTGGTGATAAAAATGCTGCTTCTACAATTAGAATCAGATACAGAAAAAGGTTGATCTGAGATTTTGCTCATTTCTCTGGTTTTTCATTCCTACATTTAATTCTCATAATAATGTTCTCACACAGAATAAATGCATTCTCTTCTAAAGTCCCTTCATATTTATCTAAAGGGAGAAGTTTTTATCCTTGAGCAGAAAACTTTTCAGTGGTGCTGGGGCTTAAACCCAGGATTTCATGCATGCTAAGCTGAAAGTTTTAACCTAAGTTTTGTCTTCCTGTAAAAAAGACAGAAAATAGAGACATTGAGGAAGTAACAGAAATGTCTATTTGGTCAAGTCAACTGGCACATTTGGAATGCTTCTTATATTCGTATTGCATTGTAAAGATATAAAACCCTTTACTCTTGATTATACTTTTATTCTTCTGGAAGTGTCGTATCCAGGCAATTTATTTCTTGTGCTGTGTAATTCTGAGAATTTTTATTCCTACAGTACCTGAGCCAAATGAGTACGCTATGGGAGGCTGCATCTGTCATCATTAGAATTTTCTCTTGTTATTCACTACCTTTGTTTTGTTTTACAATTAATTTTATTGGTACATTTTAGGTATACAATATGACATTCATCATTGGGAATTTGCACCTTTACAATCTATTTTGGTTCTTATTTTTTTCCCTATCCCCCCCTTCCCTTCAACTTCTCTGCCCCTCCCTATTTACAAAGACCATTCACTACCTTTGAACCTAAGGTTTCCTGTCTATGCCTTTGTAAACAGGAATAAATCTCCACTGCATTAAAAGGTTTACATTGTTACCAAAATATTAAAATACCATTAAATGCCCAAATTATTTTGGCAATGTGTTCACAATGGAAATCTGCAGCAAATATACAAAACAGGCTATTCTGAGAGCTAAAAAATTTAAGGAATGAAAGATTCTTACAGATAAGGTGCTAAAGTCTTAGCAATAACACTCAAGTCAGGCATTTGAGTTCAGATAAGATAGGCTCTGGGGTGGGGGGAATTTAGCTCAGTGGTTCTTGCACCTGCCTCGGAAGCAAAAGAACCAAGTTTGATCCCCCAGTACCAAAAAAAAAAAAAAAAAAAAGGCTCTGGGTTTAAGATAAAATCAGAATCACTACAGGTTCCAAAACACACTTCAATGACTTTGCAAATGAATTGATCCTTTAATATATATGAAACAAACCAAAAGAATTAAATAACTAAATGGTAGAAGAAGAACCGTAGGAAGGCAATGCTGGAATGATGTGGATATTTAGAGAGTAACTGCTTCAATAAAACATATAAACCAAACTTAAAATTTGTAAAATAGTAATAAACTATGTCTTTGTTATATTGTATAATAATTTCTGAATTGCTGTTCCAAAGATACCTATCTTTGCTTCATTTCTGGTGTTAAGCTACTTGTGTTTCAATTTTAACTTCTAAACTGCCTTGTAACTGGGATTAAACATCACAAAAACTAAGTATTATACATGGATCTATATCACAATTAAAAAATAAATAAGTGAAGATGATACTATAGGAGAGGGTGACAGCTCATATAACAACACTGGAAATCTGTTTATCAGTTTGCTGCCAGGAGAAGAACTCAGACTGAATATGATCTATTTTCATTGATTTTAGTTATCAGAGTACCAAGGACTTTTTTTCAATAAGGCAAGATTTTAAGTATAAATAGCACAGAGAATGCTGAGAGATGAGACTATTGCTGCATTTAAGAACTTTATCAAAATCAACAAATAATAATCATTAAGTATGTTGTACCAAGGTAAAGTACCAACAGAGATAACTGTTTCCAATAGCTGTGCTGTTGTTTTTTTCCTAATAGCTGTGGTTTTAAATTTTTTGTTTTGTTTTGCTTTTTAAAACAGGTCTCACCAGTAGTTGAGACTGACCTGTAACTCACTATGTAGCCCAGGCTGGTCTCACAGTGATCCTCCCAAATGCTGGGATTAAAGGTGTGCACCACCACATCCGATTTAGCTGTGGTTTTAAAATAAGGAACTACTGTGCAAGTTCAACATTCTTTTATGTTAAATAAGCTTCAAAAGTGAATACTTAGGAACACCATACCACGTAATCCTAAAACAAATTATCCAATTAAAAAAAAATTTTTTTTCAATACCAGAGATCGAATTCAGGACCTTGTGCTCATGAGGCAGGTAGTTCTAAAACAAACTATCCAATTAAAAGAAATTTTTTTTTCCATACCAGGGATCGAATTCAGCACCTTGTGCTCATGAGGCAGTTATGGTGCCACTGAGCTAAATCCCCACAAATTATCCAGTTAAATTGTATGATTTTGTTTTGTTTTGGTATGGGGGTTCAAACCCTTTCGAGGCAGGTGGTAGAACTACTGAGCTAAATCCCCCGGCCCTTATCCAGTTAAATTTTAAATTTAAATCTTCTGGAAAGAAACCCACAAGGTTGTCAACCCCAAGATGATTAACTTGGGACTTACATATTGCCTAACGAATTATGGTGATTTGAATAAACTATAACTAATGGAAGCCTAATACTCTTTATTTCTATAATATCTGCAATTGTATAAGAAAACAATATTCTTAGCCTGTTTTTGTTTTTTTATTGTGGCCTAATCCTGTTAAAGCCTTCCTCTTTTCCCAGAGGAAAATTATCACTCAAGAAGTGGTAATCAGCCAGTAACTATGTCCAAAATGCCTTATTTCTTTTGTTTTGTTTTTTTGAGACAGGGTCTCATTATGTAGTTGAGACTGACCCGGAACTCACTTTGTAGCCCAGGCTGATCTCGAACTCACAGTGATCCTCCTGCCTCAGCCTCCCGAGTGCTGGGATTACAGGTGTGTACCACCATACCCAGCGCTTTATTTCTTTTAAAGGCAGTCAAATTCTACCTGCACACACACACCCAGAACATAAAACGGAGTGTGCCAATCTGTTTCTCCTAATTTTATCTTTTTTTCTTCCTTATTTTATCTTCCTTATGAGACTGGATCTGAAAGTTAAGGAAAAAGACAAAAGTTCCTAATAGTTTGTGAGTCTTGGCTGTCTTTGAGAATTTGATAACAGACTTTGGACGCTTTGATACTTACAGATTTAAAAATACCTAGGAAAAGGGGGATTCTGTGACAGGAAAGACAAGATTTCACATTATTTTATTCCATCCTCACATCTCTGAAGGCATTGTTTTACAGAAAGAGAAGCTGAAATTATCTCAAGTAAATAGTTTGAATTTGAATCCAGACCTGACTCCAAACTCTATGTTCTGTCCATTCTTCCCTGCTGCTCACAAAGCATAAGACAAAGAACAAAAAAACAAAAAACAAAACAAAAAAACAAGAGAATGTAATGCTTAATACTAACAAGGAATTTAAGGCAGACTACAGCCTGATAGAATTATGGATTACAAAAGACTGTAAAAGCCACATAATCCTATCTTCGTTTTAATGGGAAATCACCTTTCACCAACACTGGAATTTTAGTTAACAAAAAGGCAAATGTCTTAAGAGGGCAGATACTAGCAACACTAAGTGTGAATTCCAAGATCAGCAATTTGACCTGGTGTCTTGGCTTACTCATTTAATCTTTCAGTTCCTTAGTTTCCTCATCTACAAAATGGGGATAATAATAATTGCTACCTCTTAAGATTTGTGGTGAAAATTAAGTAAAAAAATATATGCAATTCATTTAGAACAATGCTTACCATAAGAGAGACATACAAAAATGTCAATCATTATCCTATTTCCCAGTCAGAAGCC